TTAACTAATAAAAATATTCCTCCCTTTATATTTATTGTTTTGCTGTGACAGGGATCGGCAAAGTGTATTCTTTTAGAACGAAATTCCTTCGACACTTAATAGATCGATGTTACCGGTAGTCAACACCTGACCGTAAAGGGTTAACGAGGTTTTTGAAAAAAAAAATGAAAATCACTAAACGCTTTCGAATCATATATCATTTGACTTAGTTTTCGACGCTAATATGGTATTTTTATTGCTTTAAAAGTGAGTTATGGTGGAGAAAATCGAGAATTACGGGTAGAATTCCGATTTTTCCGCTCCTGATTGATAGATCTTTTACGTCAACCTCGATCAAGTATAATGCTCATACTCAGTTTTTAATGCTGAATCCGGAAAAATTCTTTCTCAAAATTTAGAAGAACAAAAACGAAAAACATTTAAATTTTTTTCAAAAACCGAAGGGTTTTCTTAATTTGAGAGTAGTATCTAGTATTTTGAAGATTTTTCATTCAAAAACCAATATATTAAAGCTAAAATGTAGATATTGGTAATCGGCGCCGAATTCTGCATCGAATGATATATAATTTTTCAAGCTATGCTTTGAATAGATACCTTCCGGAAACGCAATGATAACGATCGTATTTTTTTGAATAACGCACAAACGGAAAGAGCTAGAGACGTAAAGTTTTCGCCATTATAGCTAATACTTTAGAACATCTTCTCTTAAGCAAAATTGTTTTCAAACTACTTCTGGAAAACCACTTCGTAACTCGGTAATTCACCATAGCAGTCTGTTAATCTTTTTCAAGCCCAGATACACTAAATTATCCTCTTCAAAAGGGAAAACAAAGTTATACCTCCATTCTCAGTAGATTAGGCCTGCTATCCGGTTTCTCTCCAGGCACAGGTATGTGATGATTTCAGGTGGTTTTGAAATCGCCTAGAACATACTTAATCAACCAGACTGAATCAGATGACAATATTAACTCTTGGATAAGAATTCAAAAAGCGAGTAAAAACCAGGTTTCATCAAAAATGGGAATACTAGCTCATTTCACCCAATATTAAAAGATTCACAGCTTATACACACTATACATATATTTCTATTAAAAGACGTACATTCAGTTAAACTAAATCAAGACCTAAGTTAAGAGCAGATTCTCGCTGAGAAGGCGTTTAAGAGAGTATTACGTTAAAACTGACATAGCTTACGATCTCGAAAAAAATGCTGTGACGTTTTATTGTGTCCACACTTACACAAAGTGCTACTTGATACAGATTTTCGAAAAGAAGGTTTTAAGAAGTAGTTTGATAATAATTTTCCTTATAGAAAGATGCTCTAAAGTCTTAGCTATCAAATGGCGAGAACTTTAAGCCTCTAGCTCTTTCCATTCGTGGTTTATCCAAAAACGATCGCTATCATTGCTTTCTAGACTCATAGTAGAGGCATATCTCGATGAAAAAGGAGTTCTCATTTTCTTTGCTCATTATTCATGATAAACTTATACTGTTATCTAAAAACTATAAATGTTTTACGCCGCTTTCTTCCCGAAAAAGGTGCTCGTCTTTGATAAACAGATAGTTTTCTACGTATGCGGCGCTCTTATACATAGATCAATGGCTGATCAAGTTCGAACGTATGTACTTTTTGAAACGTATGAAGATATTTCTTCTGAATATAAATTAAATAAAATAACATACAACGCCGCCGAAGCTGAAAAGTTGTTGAATCCGTTTTTGTCGTCAACTAGAATTGCTGTAGCAGCAACAACAACTTCATCGGCGTGAAACGAAAAATTAGCATGTGTTGGCTTTGTCGGCGAAAAAGAACGCATTCCAGAAGCCTGTAAACATTATCTAGAGTTATCAACAGAGGATATTCGTACCGTTGGAACGAACCTATATGAAAAGAACGAAGGCCTTTTAGTCGTCAGGAAAGATCGCAAAGTAGCTTTTGTTTATCGAAATGTTGAATCAGTTTTCAGCACTGGTCCGCTATTATCGTCTTTATTAGCGATCGATTATGTTCGTTATATGATAGATGTCTGTGAAAAAATAATCGTTATGCCGCCGGCTGAACTCGAATGGGATCCAGCTATGACCAATCCGTTTCAAGATTCAGCCAATACTTATGTTCAATTGCAAGAACGAAGTGTTCATCCGAATGAAACCATATCAATAATGGAAATTAATAAAAATCAATCATCTTACAATTTATCGTATTGTGATACAAAATATACACATTTTTGTCGACAACAGCTCAATGTTTGCTCGCACGATCATCAACGCTATCTGTATTCATATCATTTACGTAAAGATATTGAGTTAACACGAAGACAAAATTCCGTTAATACAAAAGATCTAGAAAATTCACTTATTCATTCGAAAGATATACTCATTGATTATGATCGTGCATCTAGAACTGCTCAAGAAAAATGGATGAAACCGAGTTATTTTCAAAATTTCAAACAACGTTCATTAAATGTATTTCAACGTTTTGTTTTCGATCGTAAACAAATAGAATTTGAAGATTTATTAACTAATATTGTAAATGCATATGATAACCTTGTCACGCGAAAATTACTTGAGAAAGAAAAGCGTTTAGCCGAAAAAGTAGTCAAAGTCTGCCAATTACATTCATGTTCATTAAAATTCAGTAAAAAACATCATGGATTTTTCTCACATGTTGCTTCAACATTTCGTTCAATATTTGATATATCTGAAGAACCACCATCGAAATTCGAACTTGATTACAGAGCACGCACAGAACGATGCTCAGATATTTGTTTACATTATGTGATATCTTGAAACGACTAGAGTCATCGACCTCAGCATCGGATCGTATGTGTAACTTAAAACAGATTATTCAAGATTTAGATGAAGATTCGTTAAGCTTTCGTATACATTATGAACATATGTTTTCTATTCAAGAGAAAATTCGACAAGCATGGAGGAATTATGTTTAGACTGGCTTAGCGCAGCTGCAAGACGAACTGGAAGAAGTAAGACGATCATCATTGCAGAATATGTTAAACTGGCTAAATGAAAATACACACAAAACAGATGAAATACATCGATTCGAATTGAATATCCTTTTTTACGAGTGCAGTCCAATTGTCGACGCAGAAGGAAATGTTGTGGATTATAAAATAACAAGAAAAGGTTTTGAAATCAAACAACGGCTGCCATTGGGGACAAATGAAAAACCAAAAGATGTATTACTTTCTCAAGTCATCTATGTGACAGATAAAATTGGCTATTTTAACGTTAGTAATTGGCCAAATGGGCGATCATCTTTGTATTATTTTAATTTTGCGAATCCATCATATGCGGAGATTGAACTCCAACAAAAACTGTTGTCACCAGAAACAAGACTGATCATTGATGAGAAAGCTAATATCTATTTTATCTATGATAATTTGAATCGACGAGCTGAACGTGGAAAATTAGATGAACGAACAGGACGATTGCAAGCACCGACACCTGTGTCGAATTTGTATGGTCAAACGATTGAAAATTTAGTGATCGCCGAAGGGGACGCGATAAGTACGCTAATTTTAAATCATATTTCCACGATATGTTTCCTGCAAGGAAATGATTCGGTGTTACTGTTTGATCAAAGTTTTAATCTCATTGAATATCGATACCTAAGTGGTACATTAAAATTTATATGTAAACATGTGAATGAAGATACATACATTAAGAAAATTTTGCTGAAACCAGCTGATGGAAAATACACACAGGTATCAGCTGTCCCTGGTGGTAAATGTATTTTGTTACAATGTGAGAAATCACTAGGAGTGTTAATTTAGTTTTATTTTTCATTTATAATAATGGATAAAACTAAATGAATCATTTATACTTAAAAAATAAATATAAATAAATGAAAAAAAAATTTATCTTTATTTTATAAAAGTAAATGATTCC